TAGAATGATTTGTGACAGTTCTCCTTTATTCTTTTAATAATATTAACTTGATAAGCTAGTTTGGAATTTTATTACCTTCTGGTCATGTTAGCTAGAAAGATGTTCTCTGTGAGGATCTAGATTCCTCCTCCAAGTAACCTCTCTTCATATCTTTGAAGAAGATAAATCAAACATGAAGAATTGGAACTGATTCCAGCTCACGTATGATTTCATTGAAAGCATCAATAGCTTAATGTTAGAATCCAAAACTCTTTTGTAATTGTGCTCAAGACTCTGGAATACTTGACAGAATTATTTGCAGATAGTAGAAACCAGTGGAACGGGATGGCGCTATTTGCAAACACTGGAATATCAATGTTTTCTCATTATAGTGCCCCAGGTATGTCTATTTATTAAATGAACATTTATTATTGAGCACCAGTTACTTTGTTTGATGCTGTATACACACATCACCACCACCCAATAAGGCAAAGTTCATGCTTTGGAGACTTCCATATGAAATGAAAATTTAAAAGATGTTATGACAAACAATAAATGCGAATGACCAACTTTATGGGGAGTTATTGAAAAAGACCTCTCTTAAAAATGGGTATTTAAAGGGGTCACTGAAGTTAAGAATGAAACAGGAAAGTGGAGAGAAAGAGCATTGCAGCCAGAGGAACCAGCAAAGACAAAAACCTTGAGATAGGAAGTGCCATTACTTCCTATTAACTGAGAATATAAATATCTTCCCCCATGCTACTCACAGAAATACTGTGATAGCAATACATTTAAAAACCAAATGACCTAATCTGAGGTGGATATCTACTAGTATAATAGGAAACAAGGAAGGAATATAGGGTTTTTTCCTCTCTTTTAGAAAGAAACTTACTTGGGGATAAAAGAAGGAAGGATGATATTATATCTTGCTTTCTAGAATCAAATGCTGTATTGTGTGATACCAATGTAGGTGTTCACAGAAGGAAAAGATCTTGGCCTTGGCCTTGAATAATGGGTAAAATTGTATGGGCCAGAAGGAGACAGAAAAGGATGTTTCAGGATGAGAGAATTATGTAAATAAATATACTAAAGGTTATAAAGTAGTATCACCAATAGAAACAAAGATAGAGGTGTTAAATAACCTTATTGTGGTAATCATTTCTATATATATCAAATCTTGTTGTACAGAATATTATATGTCAATTATATCTCAATAAAGATAAAGCTGGGGAACATTAAAAAACAAATAATAGAATTGACTGAACTTGAGTGCTTCAGACCATGAGACTCAAGCTAGAGTCACACTGGTCTTTGAGAGAACCGAAGATAATAGATTGATAGAGGTCATTGAAAGGTCAGTAGACCAGTCTTGACCTGATATTTTAGACAACAGAGGGAATCAGTATAGTTTCTTGACCAAGAACATAAAAAAAGGAAATGGTAGACTTGCTTAGAGGACCTTCTTTCTCATCATGCCATTTCATTGTACCCAGTGATGAAAATATGGATTATGCTCATGTCATGGAAAGGGAATGAGCTATATGTAAGACATTTCAGGGACTGAAGAGCAATAAATCTAAAGTCAAAATGCCCCTGCTTTTAAGCCCCAGGGACTCAGAGTCAATGTCAGTGATGGAACTAGGGAAGTTTGCTGGGATAGTAAATGATGGATTTCATTTTGGACAGGTTAAGTGTCAGGAGACAAGACACCCAAACTATGATGTGAGCACACAAATAGAACTAAAGCTAAAATGGGAAGTTGAATTTAGGAATTCAAACAGGTGATAAGAACTGAGTACTTAGTTCTGGAGAATGAATGCTTATGATTAAGAGTGTGTGAATTGGGGGAGGGAGCACACACACACATAGAACTTGAGTAGAAGGTACCAAAACAACAGTTGGATAAAGGCCCAGACCAGAAAGAATTTCAAGCAGTTAAATAAGGAAAATTCTATGGGAAATACCATTATTATCATCACTATGAAAACTACGACTAACTTTTTAGAGTAGTTGCTATGTATTCTAAGATCGTTAAATGCAATAATGTGTTCATTTCTTTCCATAGCCTTTAAAATAGTAAATGCTATTGTTATTCCCATTTCAAAATGAGGAAATTTAAGTACAGGGAGATTAAACAATTTATCCAAGATTACCCAATTTGAAGAACGTTTTTAAAGCTTGAACCCGTAACTCACGTCATAAGATTATACTATTAACAATGATATTTTAACTATATAGTTTGACTTTTATCTCTTATAAATTTATTGAAAAAGTTAATTTACAGTTTTAAGAAATTGGGTTGAAATTAGAGAGTCAAGAGATGGCTGAGCAGTAATTAGATAATCCCATACAGAAGAGAACTTGGAATTCTCTAGGGCAGTGGTCCGCAAACTCATTAGTCAACAGAGCAGCAAACTCGAGAACCCCAGTTTGCCGCCCACTGCTCTAGGGTAAGGCAGAGAAATGAGGAAGAATATACCTATTGGTCTTTTTTTTTTCTCTCTCTCTCTCTTCTCTTTCCATGCACTGTTAGTTGTTAGAACAGGAAATTGTCCACTTTAAAGAGTTATAATAATTGGGAGAGGGGGAGGGAGAGGAGGGGAGGGAGAAACATGGTACCTCTATTTTATTTATTTTTAGCTATTTCTTTATACTACAAATGCCTGGATTCCAGGAATATTAGTTTATCTAAATCATTTGTCAATCAGAGTTTTACATTAAACACACTACTTTCTCAATTTCCATTACAAAATGAGAGTGGGATTCCAAAAGAGTAGGGTCTCAGAAATAGGGCCAACATTGGTTTTACGGGGTAGTCTTCAATGTGGGAGCTCACCTGCCCAGGTTTCTGTGTGGGGAGACTCAGGTCTTGGGAGTAGGCGCTGTGGACTGGAATCCATCCTCTGGAGAAGCCACACTGACTGATTTATTATTATTTACTTAAATATGTATATTTTTATTGATTTCAGAGAGTCAGGGACAAGGAGAGAGAGAAATATCAATGATGAGAGAGAATCACTGATTGGCTGCCTCTTGCATGCCCCCCGCTGGGGACTGAACCTGCAAATCATGCACCCTGACCAAGTATCTCACCGTGACCTCCTGGTTCATAGGCCGATGCTCAACCACTGAGCATGCCTGCCGGGCCATACTGACTGCTCTGATAATGCTTTCACAATGCTTTCCCATTGGCTGGGAGAAGCCTTTGCTTTTCAGGGTTCCCCCAGCCTTTCTCGCATCTCCCTTGTTCGAAGAAGAAGCAAAAACAAATGTCTAGTTCCCAGCCTCCCAAGCTCAGGCAAACCATGTGACAAGAAACAGGGGTCAGGCACCTGCTTGCTGCCACAGCTGGAGCCATCCTCCCTCCAACGAGTAAATTAACTCTGTGCTTGGATCAGAGCTGCAAATGGATGTCAGCCAATTAACTTTCCTAACGCATGGTTTTCTCCAGTGAACTGGCTGCTCAAAAACTATCAATATTTTTCCATTTTCATAGAATAAAATTCCTAGCCTTTCATGTGTGACCTTCCATAGTTTAGGCCAACGCTGTCTGTGTGCCTGACCTTACTTAGCAGCATGCCTCTCTACTGGCCTGTTCCCATTTCTCCTCCAGGTCCCCACTTACCTCTGCCTGCCTTTAGGCCGATGCTTTCAGGGATGCTTCCTCCACTTCCCAGCCTCACCTCAGGCTCTAGCATTGTTAGCCCCTTGTATGTGCTGCATACAACCTTCACAGAAGTGCCCCTCCGCCACTCAGCCTTCAGAACTTCCCTGAACTCCCAGACAATTTTATCTCCAACTCCTGTTTATCTGTGTCCTAGATATGTATTTTGCATCTGTTATCTTCTTTACTAAATCCTGGGTAGAATCTGTACCTAATTTAACTTGGTATCTTTCAAATCACTTACACTTATCATTAGAGGAAGTTAAAACGTTCAAGAGCTAAGAGGCCATATCGATTACTTATAATAATATGTCTTTTTACAACTTTTTTTTTTCTGGGTGTTATTTTTATTTTTTTATTCATTTTATTGGAGTCACATTGATTAATAATAAGATCACATAGGTTTCAGGTGTACATTTCAATGATACATCATCTGTATATTGCATTGTGTTCCCACCACTCAAGGTCAAATCATATTCCATCACCATATATTTGGTCCCCTTTAACCTTTACTGCTGGAGGCTAAGCCCAGCAGGTCATAATAAATTCGAGAAGTCCTTAAAAGGTTGAATGGACTCTTTCAGCAAGGCTGAAAATTTGCATGTTATTCCCTGAGGGCAGTTCCCCCAACCTAATAACACTTTATTGTTCACCAAACCTTACCTTTGATATGTATATCTGCTTTGCTGTAGAGCAAAATGTGGAAATAAAAAAGCCAGGGATCCGGAGATTTGAAGAAGTTAGTCACTAGGACTCAGTAGTCATCTGGCCCCCTCAAAATGCCTCCCAAATTCCTATTCCTTCTCTAGTCTCTTCATTCATTTATGCCCAGCCCCTTCTTCAGATCCCTTGAACCTTAGTAGATGCAGAAAGACCCCAGCACTTTACTACCTACATTCCCCTGGTCTTCTTTCACTGTGACATCATAAATAAGTGATGAGAGAAAAGGACCAGATATCCTGATTTTTAGCCCAAGACTTATCCACCAATAACACTGGTTCTCCCCCTGGCTTGCACACTGGAATAACCTGACATCACCTAAACTATTCGATCTGAAAGCCCCAAAACATAGAATTTAGAAACTCAGGGGTGCAACCCAGACATCTGTGTTATTTAAAGCTCCCATGTGATTCTAATGTGCAACCATAAATTGGATAAAAAAAGGGCCAGCACCATGGCCCTTGGACCATTCTTGGTTTCCTATTTAATTATATTTATTTGAGAATTCTTTTAATTTGAGAAAATTTTAATTTTTTTCATGTATAGAAAATTTCAAAGTAGAAAAGTACTAGAGATAGAATATAGTACATTTTGTTTTGTTTACAACCGTAGCTTACTTGACTGTTTAACTTTTCAGATATTTCGAGAGAAAGCAGTGGAACTTGGGGTAAAATTGCTACCTGCGTTTAATACTCCCTCTGGAATACCTTGGGCATTGCTGAATATAAAAAGGTAAAACTCTTCATTTTTTGACAACATATTTTAAGTTGAATTAGACACTGGATGGATAATTACTTGTATGATGTCAGCCTCTTCCACCATTGGGAGTCTCGGCATCTGTCCTTGTGTTGGAAGTTACTAATTTTCAGTGTTCCGTGGCCTTACATGGGTCCTTGTCATTGGATAGCATGACCCCAACAGAATAATCCAAGCCAGACATGATTTGTGGTTTTCATTCTCATGGTGACATTGCATCCGAAAAACTGTCTCCATAGATTCCATTATCTTTAAAATTGTCATGAAAATGTTTCAGAGGCAGGACACCTGGACTAATCAGATCTCCCATTTAGCGAGACTGGGAGCACCTGAGGCTGCCCCACCCACAGGCACAGGAGGGAGGGGAACTGCTCCACTGACCCAGATCAACCCAACCCTCGAATTCCGTTTGGGTGGAGAACACTGGTGTGACAAATCCATGAGAGTGTGGTCCCAAGACAAACCCAGGCTGACGATTGTCTGATATTCTCCCCAGGGAATAACTTGAATTTTCATGATACCTTGAGCATTTCACTAATAAACAATTTTATCGTAAGCTTTCTCCTTAACTCCTTCTTCCCCATAAGTAATTAACTGTATATGTGCCTCTTGGTAATGATAATGATGAGAACTGTTTATAAAATTATTAGATATGAAGCTTTGTTATACACATTTTGTACATACTACCACATTCAATGCTCACAACAATCCAATAATGTCAGCACTGATGTTATCTCCATTTTAATAACAAGGAACTCGAGTCACAGACAGATTGTCATTTGCCTAACATCGTGCCATATATAAATGGTAGAACTAGACTATGTACTTCGATGTTTATGCACACATGATATATAGGCATTAATTAAACAGCTTTCTTGTTTTATAAATGCCAAGAAACTGTACAGGGTGGCTTGGCAGGATTAATAGAGATTTCTTCTTCATTATTTACTTTATGACATTTTTTCCTAAAATTAATTATGAAAAATCATCAGTTAAATGTCATGCAGTATTTTCATTTGTGTGTTATAAATGTATGCCTTGAAATAATTATGTCTGTAATCAACGGGGGAGTGGGAGTCCAGGGGCAGTGATGCTGAGGCAGTGAGGGGGGAAGAGACCACACAGCTGGCCCATATTAATGACAGAGGTAGTTCTCTAGTATATGTGATATATCAGAACCTGTGTTCCCCTTTAAGGGGCCTACAGCTTTCTCTGTGATCTTGAAGACCAAAGCATATGCTGCCACGGGTCTCAAGGCCATGGCTTAGAGACAATATGGCATTTATTAGAGTTTTTTTTATTCATATAGACCATCTATATTACCTTCGACATCTTAGCCTTTGGATTTTTAGACAGTATTCCGACCTAGAAACTACTGTATTCCCTGAAATAAGATCTGGTTATAAAAACACTGTGCGCATTTAACACATTTCCCCCTACCTAGTAGCTCTGAGAAAAATGATAGGGGCAGAACAGTACACTGAGCTAATTGGTTATCAAGAGACTTGGTTCTAGGTATTTTATAGGTGCTGTTGGTATGTTCTCAGAGCAATCATTTCCACTCTCCAGGCTTATTTGTAAACTGGAAGTTAGGCTACGTTAGTTGTTTTTTGTGAAAATGTTCACAGCCACTTTGAAATTCTGATGAAACATGGTCCTCTCATAAATTGCATATTCCTGAGTACACATATGTTTACAGTTTCCAAAAGCAAAACTGTGCCATAGGAGCCCACTTTTGTCCCAAGGACCCCAGGTTCAAAAGACTGGAGTGATTGATCACACCAACCCTTTACCCTAGGATTTCGCAGAACTAAAATTGTTGCTTCCTGAAAGGTAATGAAATTAGATAAGGGTTCTAAAGCTAATAGAGAGACACGTGGGCCTACATCTTTGCAAAAAGGCAAGTCAATTGTTGTAACGTGCTGATATTATTTAATTACTTCTAGTCTCTCTTGAAATAAGCATAAAAACTTGGATTATTTTAAAAGATACTTTACTTTATGTTTATTTCCAACAGCAAGAGGATTTTTCCTTAGGAAATCTGTCCTCAGTGTACAGTGGAGTTATTTTTTTGGTGCATAAAGGAACACTTCCAGAAACTATTAAATACTGAATCTTCTACGATCTTTCCTATCTGTGCTTCTTGAAAATTCATTAAATGAGGCATTCAGGTTTTTCTTAACACCTTACTTTGCATTTGCAGTGTTTTATATGGATGTTATTATTTAATTTCAAAGATTATAGAAAAATTGGATGTGGAGAAAAAAAATAATGTGCCATTCCATTTATGTGTTATCTAATGTTTTCAAGTGAAACTAGAGGAAATCAGGTGACTGTTTGACAGCAAACTTTTAATTTCTTCCTGGCATCCTGTATGAATCTTTTATTATATATTTTATCCACTCTCAATTCCATTTACTAAATAGCAGTGACTTGCCCAAATTTTCACATTAAGCCTTGGCAGAATTATTAGTAATATCATTTCATTTAAGTCCTCCGATCCCTTTGCCCAACCAAATCCACTCATGGAGTCCCCTCTCCTCCAGCTGTGAAGCTGATTTGGAAGAAAACATTTCATATTAACCTGCAATAATTACATTGTGGGATACACTCTTGATGTCAACCTAGACATATATGCTGTTTTGTCTGAATCTGTGTATGTCTATAGTTTGGGCCAGGGAATAAGGGACAGCTGCCATAGAGCTCTTTGCTAGGTTTTTGAAGGCTGTTACCAGTAGAAGGCTAAACAAAGAGAAGAAAAATATGTCTGGCACAAGCACATTTTCTTAATTACTCTCCCAGAATAAGGGAGTGTCTGTAGAAGGATGCCCAAGAGGGGAAAAAGTGCTTGAAGATGCTGTTGAGAATAGCTGTGCATTCACTGTTGACTGGCTTTGAAACTCTTGGCAATAATTAGGACAAGGAGGCACAGAGTATGCCATCTATCATAGAATTTGGCTCGTCCCTCTCAATTCCGAAAATAGTTATGGATGTTGCTCTTTGCCAGTGACTGTCTGTTCACAAACATGTGAACCTGTTGGTATTATCTATTCGCATCTCTCGAGTATTCAGGTTATTGCTTAAAGATAATAGGTTTCTTTACCTTTTCTTGATTAAAAAAAAAAAAGTGAGTAAATAAGCATGTATTTGAAACCCTGCTCTGATGAAGGTTTTATGCCCAGGTCCTGGGTAGATTGCCTTCTTCGCCTCGCTTTATTAAAAAAGAAAACAAACATGGTCTCCCCCTCTGGGTATTTACAGCATGATTCTTTAAGCACAATATACATATATATTTTATATGCTATATTATACATTCACTCCAGGAACTGACAAATGTAAAGATAGTCTGGGCCAAGGAGAAAAATACGATCTCACTGGATTGAATTTAAAACAAGCAGTATTTTGAATTGGGGAGGTTTATGCAATTTGAAGCCAAAACACCAATAAGCCAAATTGGATTTCAGTACTTGTGCAAACTGAGAATAGCGGAGAACCTAAATAATTTACTCATATTCTACATTAGGAACTCTGTCCCAAAATCTATTCAGAAAAAAAAAAAAAGTATTTTATAATGATCTCTTCTGTTACATCTGTAACAAATTCAGGAGCTGTGGATTAAGTTCTAAATTAGGCGGAATGGTGATTTAATAGCAGGTGGTAACTGATGGAACGAACAGAACAAACACCATGGTGGTATATGCAGCACCTGACTGGGCAAACGTGCTAGCTTCACCAACACAGCAATAGAATGACAATGCACAGCTTACATAACACCTCTGCTGAACGGAAACCACTGCCTCTGAACAGATTAGATTTGGGTAGAACTCAATTTCTCTAATGTGTAAACGTCGAAATTTGATGTCTGATCTTGTTACGATTAGCAAGAGGCCATGTTCATTTTTTTCTTCCAACCTAAAGAAGAAAAATCATTTCTGGAGTTTGTAAAATAAAGTATTTCACCATTTTCATATATATATATATATGTGTGTGTGTGTGTGTGTGTGTGTATGTATATGTGTATATTTATACACACACACATTCACACATATACATGTATATATATATATGTATATGTATATATATATATATATATATATATATATATATATATATGTATGTATACACACACACACACACACACACACACACACATAATTCAAGCCCAGGTAGAGTAAACTTATTATATTTTGAGTTTTCTAAAATGTGTGCTTAATTTCACATAATATAGGTACTGTTCCCATTATTCATTTCTATCACAGGACACACCTTCTGGGCATTCCTAATAATTATTCTGTCTCTCTTGATAAATGAGTTCGTTTTAAGCTATGTACCATTTTATCACTTGTTTGTCTTTGTGGGTTGCTCTGAACTGACACTTTCCCGGTGGTTATATTAGGTTAGCAGGACTGTCGGCAGCATGTGCGCTGATTGCACGTAGCAAGGAATGTCTGGGGGATGACTGATCTGCATTCCGGCTCTCATTAGTCAGCAAGGTGATGAATGCGGCACACCTCTGTCACCTGTGTTTATTTCCCGCTGTATGAAGTTTTATTTGCTGACTACTCTCATTATCCAATGCAAATGCATACTCGGTCATTAATTACATTGCAGTTTGTATTATGATAATTAAATCGCAAATTGCTTTACTTTAACTGAAATGGGGCCTTAATTAAGAATAGTACATAACTTAATGCTTCCTAATAGTGAAAGATTATCCCTGGTGAAGCATGTGCTATATATATTGTGACAAAAGGCACTAGCCCCTTTATTGGGTTTCTTAGTACTTTAATGTTGTAAAATGCTTAAGTATTAAATAGACACAAACTCTGAAAGACCATCTGATTAGGTTAAATATTTTTTAAAGTTTTTTTTAACATATCTTCTTGTGTTTTTACTTGACAGCTAAAATATAAATTTCTGGATCATTAAATTTGCCAATCATTTTTTTAAAGTAGCTGATTTCATATTCTTACATC